GTGGGGTTTATATTCTTTGTAATTCCACATGATCCATGAACATGTTGGATTAAAGATCTTCACCATACGCATTCTCGTGAAGTCTCATATAAAACAATTATCTCTGAGTAATTTGAAGATGTAGTAACCATAGACTGCTTAACTGACTTCCAAGAAATTGCAGCACCACCACATAGAAAAACATAACCAGTCTGAGATCTGGCATTATGGGGATCAGACATATAGCCAGCATCTGAATATCCCACCAATGTCATGTCTTGATTATGTTTATATAAATCATGTAAATAAATTAATTTCTTATATGTATAAATAAATTAATACATATCTAGACCATAATTAGGAATATAATTTTCGTGCTTGTTTGTTTTATACATAAGTCATTTTAACATGTTGATCTGATTCAATAAAGTGCCATAATATTAAAGTAATATAAAAGAGCATGAAAATCTAATTTCTTTTAGTGATTTCATGTGCATGGTTAATTACATATATTCTAGGATATCTCCAAGTGGTTTATTGTGTCAAAACTCAAAAGACACATTTGGACCGGTCATTTGAATATGAGTTGGAACCTTTTTAGCATGATCATATGTGGCCAGGTAGCAAGCTCGTCGTTGCCAATTGATGGACGAACATAGGCGTCGTGCCCACGCGCCATGAACCCGTATACGCTCGTGATTCGTGAACTCTGAGTTGTGTTCGATTTTTTCCTACTTATCCCCAACTAACCGTATTAGAGTTATAGAATGCCTAATGCATGATTATAGTTCATTTGGATTGTCTAACCATTTCTTTTTCTTTTTTTTTTCCAACAAAAACATCAAATATTATAAATGAACTCAAGGATAAGTACAAGTCGAACTCCTAAATAGAAGTATCGAACCCAAGACCTGAGACGACAGAAAGGTTTGTATAAATTACTATTTATCATAGTTTAGAAAATTGGACCAGAAGGGCCGGTCCGATTCACTCCAGTGAATCGGTTGCCAATGAACCGGAAAGAAAACGGTCAACAACTTATTAAAACTTACAGTTTTGCTACAAAACCATCGGATGGCTCGACTTATGGAGCATCCATAATTATTCACCAATAGTGTATTGACACGTGTCTTACAATAAATATAATTTGTACATATGTCAATACATTAAGGGGTCATTTACTTTGCAGGTTAGGATAGGATAACTAATATATCTCATATTTACTTTAAATGATTGGGACTAAATTTGACCTTGCTGGCACCCATGTGGCGCGCGGGACCCACCACTT